CTACTCAACAAAAAAAAAAAAACAAAAAAAATTTACATTTCTGTGAGACAAGATATGACTTAGGTTTTTGCCAAAAATCACTAATAAAACATAGAAATTTTGGGTGTTTCATTTTTGCCATTGTCTGAGAAACTACAACACGACGTTGCACGACTATGTAAGCGATTTTTTGACACAATGAAAGAAAAAACGTCCTCGATTTCAAGAGTATGATTGAGTATTTTTGCTTGTCAGTACTTGAGAGTGATATGATAAGAAAAATCGGAATGGTTCAACGTGATAAGGATAATGACATAGAAGCGACATTGATGACTATGAATAGCTCAACGTGTTTAGTTTGCTGTAAGAATTGTCTATATAGAGCTTGAAAAAATACGTTCAAATTACTTCAATGTAATCTTTGTTGAATTCGAAACTTTGTAAAGGTAATAGATGTTGTTTTAATAATGATCCTTTGATTTTTACGTCCTCGACCCGCGGAATTGTGATACCCAGCAATATTCGTGGCGTTTTTTGGCCTTTCGATGACATTTAGTGTTGATCGACACCCACTCGAAGCTTGATTCGTGATACCCACCCCTTAAGGCATCTGTTCGATGCTTAGCCACAGTTGAACGAAAGTCGATTTGAGTTACCCATTCCTTTTCGGCGTAGGACCAGCAAGCTCGGGCCCCTTCGAACTTGTTTCTACAGTGTTCAAACCTCTTCGAAAGTGACTCAACCATAACCCAAGTGATTTGGCGTGAGTTTGTGGGTAACAAATCACCTAAACTTGGTTTCGATTAAATTTAAGTGTTTCTAATTCGATTATAACCTGAAACGTAATCTCGTTTGTTTTATAAACCTTTCAGCAAAGYTGAGGAGCATTATGATCTAGATAGTAATTAGTAGTTTCTTACTTGAGGGGATTGTCTTTTTGTGTGTTGATATGAACTACTTGGTTGCTTGTATGTCTTGGTTGATTTACATTCTTGTTACTAGTAATATTGGGTGAATGAATCTATTTAATTTTGTATTTGTTGATTTGATTTTTGAAAACTCGATGTGGTGGGTTATTACTTGATGATAAAAGTATGTTGGCTTATTGTTAGGGTGCTGCTTTGTTTTTCTACTTTGCTTATGATGAAAACCATGCTGAAGATTATCTGTTGTGACCATGTGATGTGTTAAAGTATGCAGATTGTTGTGGAAAATGTTCTGCTTGTGTCCGTATGTTGTGGCATGCCAAATGATAAGTTAGAGTTAACGTTGTTGGCCTGGTTAAAGGTTATATTCTAGAATCATAGATGGAGGCTGGGAGTTAAATGTAGAGTTGGATGTTATAAGAAGAGATTAGATGAGTGTCAGGGCCCTAGGTGTAAAAGGTCGGGGGCTGATACGTCACTTCTGGGTGTCGAGGCTTCGGATGCAAAAGGCTGAGGGTCGATATGCCCAGACTTGGTAAGGA